TACTAATGACATTAGTAACTCTTAATATTAATACTGATATTAATATCATTATTAATAGAGTGGTTCTTTAATTAAATAAATTATTATTTATTGTATTTTTTAAGTCATTCTGTGACCCCCTTGGAAGTTTGCTGAGGCCCCTGGTTGAAACCATTTTTTAGATCATGAAAAAATATTAATTCAACTTTTGACTGTTTTTGACTGATGAAATCCCTTTTTAATACTGATATTAAAGTAACAACGATTAAAAAAAATCTGTAGTAAATACCTTGACTGTTTTGAATTGTCTCCAAAAATTTAAATAAAAAAAATAAAAAAATTACAAATTAAAAATTATGAAATGGAGCAAAATTGAGTAATATTGAGTAATCCATGAAGTATTAAATATAAATATTATTATTATTATTGAGGAGATGCACAATATTACTTGTATTAGTGTTTAGGCTTAAAATGGGCAAAAAAAACGAGTATGCATGACCAAAAAAAAAATAATACAGAAGAAAAATTCAAGGGGCCCACAGGGTGACTTAAATGATTACTTATTATTACTATATATATATATATATATATATATATATATATATATATTTGATGATTTGCATGCATTGTAAATAAAAACAATAGTGTGTTAATGTTGCAATTAATCTAATTGCATTTTTTAAGCATTTTAATTAAGTTTTACTAATGATATTAGTAACTCTTTATATTAATACTGATATTAATATCATTATTCATAGAGTGGTTCTTTTAATAAATTATTATTTATTGTGTTAAGTCATTCTGTGACCCCCTTGGAAGTTTGCTAAGGCCCCCTTGTTAAAAAACATTTTTTAGATCATGAAAAAATATTAATTCAACTTTTGACTGTTTTTGACAGATGAAATCCCTTTTTAATACTGATATGAAAGTAACAACGATAAAACAAATTCTGTAGTAAATACTTTGACTGTTTTGAATTAAAAAATTAAAAAATATTTAATTGAGCAAAATTAAGTAATATTGAGTAATCTGTAAAGTGTTAAATAATAAATATTATTATTGACAAATCTATTTTTGACAGAAAAATACCATGGTGAATCCAAAAATGCATAGAGGTCATATTTCGACCCCTTTTATGAAGACTTGGGGTAGTGATACAAAAAAAAAGTGATTTTTTTCCCCCTGAACTTAAGTCTTATGACCAACAAATATTTAACTGGCTTTGCTGTGTAATAAGTGTAATAATAAGGGAGTAGTTCACTTTTAAAAATTTTTTTTTTATTTACTCCCCCCATGTCATCCAAGATGTCCATGTCATTCATTCTTCAGTCGAAAAGAAATTAAGGTTTTTGATGAAAACATTCCAGGATTTTCTCCATATAATGGACTTCAATGGGAACCAAACGGTTCAAGGTTCAAATGAGAGTTTCAGTGCGAACTGTTCAAAGGGCTTTAAACGACACCAGACGATGAATCCATGATCATTGGCCATTTAAAAAAATAATTAAAAAAGTTTAAGTTTTATAAGCACAAATGCTCGCCTTGCTCTGTTCTGTGATGCGCGTTCATGACTCTCCTGTTCAAACTCGTTCATCAAAATGAACAAATCTTTTTTCGAGTCATGACTCGACGGGTCCTTGATAAGACCCTTATTCATCATCTGGTGTCGTCTAAAGCCCTTTGACCAGTTTGCACTGAAACTCTCATTTGGACCTTGAACCGTTTGGTTCCCATTGAAGTCCATTATATGGAGAAAATCCTGGAATGTTTTCATCAAAAACCTTAATTTCTTTTCGACTGAAGAAAGAAAGACATGGATATCTTGGATGACATGGGGGTGAGTAAATTATCAGCAAAAGTTTATTTTTTTTTAAGTGATCTACCCCTTTAACACTTACCTCGCCATCGACGGAAACTCCCAGCTTTCCATGTTTTTACTGTTGGCGCTGCTACACATCTTCTGAAAGAGTGCTGAATCTCCTGATCAAAGAAAATGCAAAAACATGTGACATCAAATGTAATCATGCAAAACAACGCGATCATCAATATTGAACCGCATATAAATCAAAACTACCTAATGTTACCGAATAAAACGTCGACCCAGAACGAGCTACTGGGAGCTACTAGTCTTTGATAGAAACACAATTCTCTCAGCTTTTTGCTCAAAATGTAGCTTTTGTGTAAAAGCAGAGCGCTTGTTCTTTATTTTGATATATTGCATGTTCAGATATTCACACAACCAAAAAATATGGGGGCCATGAAAAATTGTCAAAATGCTCAAAAATGTTGTTGAGGAATTAAATCGTTTTATTATCATTACATATTGGATTAATTTCACCCCCTTCTAGGGTTAAAGTTCAATTGATGTAATTATACAGTATCGAGGCGCCAGAATACCAGACTTTGGTGTGGATAACTTTTGCATAACTTAAGTAACCCACCCATAACTGCAAACAACACACTAACAGTAACAACCACTCTAGCTCTAGTTGTGTTTTTGAAGATGTGACATTTCTATTTACGCTGGTCATCATATGGAAATTAATTTTGATGATTTTCAAGTGGCGCTAATGAACGTCTATACCCACTCCTTTTTATGCAGAACTTTAAATTAGATCCTATTCTCATGTCTGTTGAGATGCTTTTACATGAATAACCTCACCTGTTAATGAGCACGTCAGTCTCGCTATATAAGCTAGTGTGATCTTTATTCTTCTTCTCCACTTGATTGCTGATTGGTCCCCAGTGGGCGGGTCTGACTTGATTAGATTGGACTCCTGACAGCCTTGGGTTAGCACAGAATAACAAAACCGGACGGCAGACGCAAGACATTCATGCAGGCCAGTGTTAATAAAGCTTCATCAACATTCAAATCAGTGTTGGTGTAAGTCCCGCCAGTTGGTCACACACTCATTAATATGTTTCTCTATTAAAGTGTGTGTGCATGTGTTAAGTTTCTGGACTTCTAGTTTGACTGACTCTTTATTTTAAAGTAGCAAATTAATTCTTGACACTTCAGCCAATCAGACGCTTATCCGAGGGACTGCCAGAGGTTCATACGGTTAATCTTTTGACTCGGCACTGACTTCATTAAACATCGTCTCACGAATATATGCATTTGGAAGATGATTAGCGGGGCTGACCCTGATCACCGGGGCCATGATCTCGTCACAGAATGAGACACAGAATTTTTTTCTCTGCAGTTATACCTGATCTTGCTCTGATAAAGTCAAGTCGAGAAAACCCTGTAATATTTAGTTACATAAAGTTTGATATAGAGTACTTGTTAGTCTCATTATGAATCATCTAATATATAAGTCTTATGCCCATACTGTTATGCTTTTTAACTGTTATCCCAGTGCATAGTCTTGCCCCAAAGGTTTCCATAATAAATGCATTGCTGTAAAAGTTGACAAAAATTCTTTATGTCTATAGTAATCAACTGTAGCTCACAGATACTGTCAATAGAGCTTAAAGGAGTAGTTCACTTTAAAAAAAAAACTTTTGCTGATAATTTACTCACCCCCATGTCATCCAAGATGTCCATGTCTTTCTTTCTTCAGTCGAAAAGAAATTAAGGTTTTTGATGAAAACATTCCAGGATTTTCTCCATATAATGGACTTCAATGGGAACCAAACGTGTCAAGGTCCAAAAGACCGTTTCAGTGCAAACTACAAACTGTTCAAAGGGCTTTAAACGATTCCAGATGATGAATAAGGGTCTTATCAAGTGAAACGATCACTCATTAAAAAAAAAAGTATTTAAGTTTTCTAAGCACAAATGGTCGCCTTGCTCTGTTCTGTGATGCGCGTTCATCACTATCCTGTTTGAACTCGTTCATTAAAATGATCAAAATGTTCATCTTTTTTCGTGTCATTTGGTTCATTCAACGAACGAAATGAAAAGATTCATTCATTTTGAAAAAAAAAAACGATCTCGAACAGGAGAGTCACGAACGCGCGTCACAGAACAGAGCAAGGCGAGCATTTGAGCTTATAAAACTTAAACTTTGTTATTTATTTATTAAATGAGCGATCGATTCGCTTGATAAGACCCTTATTCATCGTCTGGAATCATTTAACGCCCTTTGAACAGTTTGCACTGAAACTGTCTTTTGGACCTTGAACTGTTTGGTCCCCATTGAAGTCCATTATATGGAGAAAATCCTGGAATGTTTTCATCAAAAACCTTAATTTCTTTTCGACTGAAGAAAAAAAAAAGACATGGACATCTTGGATGACACGGGGGTGAGTCAATAATCAGCAAAAGTTTCTTTTTAAAAGTGAACTACTCCTTTAATACTGTGTCCTAACCTGGTTTTAGACTCACCATTTCCAAAACACCAATTTAACCCCTCCGTTTTAATCTCTAAATAATTCAAAAACTCTTCCTGTTGATGAAATAAAACTATTTGTTTATACGCCATTCATATTTTATCATCCCAACATCCGCAATCATCCACGTTCACACAATAGCACTTAGAATAATGTGTGAGTGATGACGGCAGAATGAATCGCTTTTGAATCTCATGTACTTGTATATTGTCTCTGTGAATAGTGGGAGTCATTTAGCCTAGAGCGCTATAGTGCAATTTCAATAGGAGATGCTGCATGAATGAAACGTGGTGTATTGATAATACGTCTCACTAAAACGCCGGCTTCTTTTATTAGAGTCATGTTTTATTTCTTTGGTAGTCGCAATAAAAACAGTTCAGATCAAACAGCCGAGTGAACCGAGACATGAAGTATCCCATTACGCCAACACGAGCAGTGGGAATACATCACTGTGAGCTGAGGTTCTTGCCGTCAACATGGAGTCTTATTCCAGTAACCCCACCCAATGAACTCTGCATAACCCTCCTGCTAACTCCTCCCCTTTTGCTCTAGCCCCACCCCCTTCTCCTGCCTGCTCCTCCCTCCCTCTCTGTCTTCTACTGACTCTTCCCACCTTCCCCTAACCCAACTGCTGTTCTGCCCTATAGGTCGGATGACAGCGACTCCTCTCTCTCGGAGGTGTTCAGGTAGAGATCTCTGTCTGTCATTCTGTTCCCTGTTGTCTGGTTGTCCCGCCTGGTCACTCCCCCACCAGGTGTGGTCACGGCATGAGCATGCATGTGCCCTTTCCATTTGCGTCCTGTGCTGTGAACTCTGTAAGAATTGAATGAACCTTATGGATGGACTCGGTTAAATAGCTTTAACGATCTTGAAGGTTTTAAAATCGTGTACTAAATGTCAGCTTATGACTCAAAATCATTGGATTGATTGCTTCCTGGCGATCTGTTGGCAAGGCCCACTTACAAACCCTACTTGAATCTCGCAACAGCTCTGGACTGGGATCAAAAGGTGGCATCCCACTAGCCAACTCAACTGCCTCTGATTTCCCTGAAAAACGGCCGAAATAACCAGATCTGACAAGGCCGTGAGTGTCTGTCTCACCAAGCGGTCAATCTTTTCATGTTTGAATCAGCAGGGCGATTAACTCACTGGCTGAGAGATGCCCTGTTTCGTGATTTTTCAACAACTATGTAAATAACTGTACGTTCACACCGCCGCCGACTTGAGCGTCAAAGAAGGACGCTTGTCAAAAAGTACGGGGAATCTTGTTGACGCTTTGGACGTTGCAGGGAGAATAGAAGTGTCACAACATGAGATGTAATAAACAGAAAAAAACAAGCAATGCATTGAAGAAACATTTTTTAATGACAGCATTTTTATAACCGTTTTGGTCACATTTGGTCGGGAAAAAATAGTTAGCTGTTGTTATTATTATTATAATTGCAGTCAAATCGGTGTCACCGTGGGCAAATTAATTGCATTCCCGCTTTAAAACGAGCGTTCGTAAATATTTCAAATAATAGTTGCACTCATGTGGTCCCTATCAGTGTTGGGTGTAACTAATTACTTACTGTAATTTAATTACTTTTCCCTTGAAAATGTAAAGTAAGGGATTACTCTTCATTTATCTGTAATTTAATTACAGTTACTTCTGATGTAATTGAGGTAAATCAATCCGATCTCGCAGCGATTCGTATGCATTTTATGAGGTGTCTAAATATTACGACCGCACTCGTACAAATTCGTATGAATTATTGTAAAATATGTATGAAAAAAAGTGTGAAATGTCATGAGATCAGACATAAAACAATAGTGGGTTTAACATCAAAATGTATTGTCTGATGCTAAAAAGTATGTTTTTATAATGTAACCTTCTCCTCCTTGGTCAGTTTAAGGATGAAGGTACAAACTATCTTACAGATTATTTATGAAAATAGCTTGGCAAGCTAGCTAGGCTAACGTTTGCTAACGAGGAAACTATAGAAAAGATCTGTCCATTAGGCAACAAATAAATAAATGATGACATCAAATAAACGAATTCATGTTTTTCATTTGTGTCCATTATTTATCTCATTTAAGGTACAGCTAGAAAGTATACATAATATTGACCAATTAGTGTTTAAAACCATGGAAAGGGGTTAATATAACAGCTGGAGAACAGTTATGTCACATTTAGCTCAGGAAAGCCATTTAATGACCATAGCATGTTAATTGAATAGAAAAAAATTGATAGAGAGATTTTGCTGAGCACTATATAAAGTTACATATTTATTATGTTTTTACTTATGTCATTAAATAATTGCTGTTATAACAAAAACTGCATTATATTTAATTTAATTTGTTATTTTAAACCCTTAATAATAGCAGCAGAACCTTATGGCACCAGTCGACCGGGGGTATTTTATGTAGATCACAATGTTTTCTCTTCCAAATTGAAATTTTACTGGACATTATAAAAGTTTTACTCGACATTATAAAAGTTGTAACGGTAGTGACGTTAGTAAATCGCGGGCTGTTTATTCCAATGGACGCAAGTTGCAACTAAAACAATAGGAGGGAATGGCACAACAGCTCAGTAATGGCGCCCGCTTACTTCCGGTTGTTTCGCCGGATTCGTCTATAAGCAAACAACGTCATGTCATAAATTATACGAAAGCCCAGCAACGGCGATGATTAGCTTCTCTTCCATTTTGGTAGGAACGAAACTTTACATTCATGTTTCTCCGGAATCAGCCAGCGTGGAGGACGTCTATATTCCGATTGGTTGCTGCCGCTTTGCCGCTGAACCGAACTCATTACCATAAAGTTGAGCTTCTTTCAACTTTCTGATTAACGCTCAAAACGCGACGCCGATAAATTTGACGCTCCTTGCAGCTGAGAAAAGCCAGCTTCCATTTAAAGCTGCCGTCGGCAACATTTTTTTGATCATATTCAGTGAAATCGACACTATAATCCGACAGAACAACATCCATCTGGAGCGTGTTATTTGTTTTGCAAAAATCCCGGATCATACCGGTGCAATCAGCACAGGGGGGTGTGAGATCTGACTGTCAATCACAGATCGGGCACATGTAGGGTTGGGTATCGTTTGAATTTGAACAATTCCGATTCCTTGTTTCGATTCCGGTTCCTAACGATTCTCGATTCCGATTCTTTTAAGAGGCAGGGTCAAAAAAGTTTAGCTAACCTTGCTAACCAACGGCCTTTCTGAAGGAAATACTCCTTCTGTAAAAAGACTCCTTTTGTCACAAATTTTGCATTTTACCGAGATTTCGTTATTTTTAGAAAAGTGAAGCCACACTTTGGATCGCCGACGTAAGGTACTCATGTTCGACTCGCGTAATTATGCCAACACTTCCGGTAGACGCTTCTTCGTTGGTGTTGTTCAGCAGTTTCTTCTTCCGCTCGGCGGACTGTGAATATCTTTAAAAAAAAAAACTTTTTTAACGTAAAAAACTTTTTTTTTTGTTTTGTGAATATCGAAACTAGGAATCGAAATTTTAACTTTTGAACGATTCCGGGAAAAACGAAAAGTTAGTCCCGGTTCCAATCGATACTCGATTCTCGATACCCAACCCTAGGCACACGCCACCCCTCGCGCACGTTACAATCACATGCACACGCCTGAATTTCGCGCAGTAAGGAAGAGTGATGGCGGAACACTAACAAACCAAGTAAGCTCATTTAGAGTATAAATGACGTTAGCAATTGCAATATATTGGTAGATTAGCCAGGGCAGCATACCTCCAAATAATCCATGGTGTTGATGGATGCTGATGAGACGGTCGCGTTCACAGATAACCTGGTGCGCACGCACTCGAGTACGAACTCTGTAGGAGGGTATTCGTTGATAGTGGGGGAGGGCCATATGAGTTGTAAATAGGGCTGGGGTAAACTATTATTAACTAAACGATTAGTTGGGCGATTATTTTATCGATTAGTCGACTAATCTAATGACTAATTGGACGACTAATATAAAGAATATTTTTCTGCTGCTCAATTAATAAAAAAAAAAACAATGTATCTCAAATAAATACTAGCATACAGAGATACTATAAGCTGGCTAACGTTAGTCTAATGTTATGTATTTGAACACCATCATTATAACTCTACAACCGCCAAAACCGTGTTATTAAAAACTGTTTGTAAAAAAAAAAAATTTTATCATAGACAATGTTTAAATATTAATATCAGCTGAGGAGGGAAACGGAGGCGGAGTTAGTGGTGCGATCGGAGGCTGCTACTACTGGAGATGAATCGGGAGAGCTCGTGCACCTACTGATCCGAGCGCGTGCTGACTGCCGACACGGAGTAAAGCCTTGTTTATACTCGACACGTCCGCACAAGCGCGAATGTGCGTGCGGCAAAAATGACGCGTTGGGTGCGCAAGACCAGGAAGACTGTGGCTGTGTACGCCTTTTTTGTAACAGCGCGTGCGGTGCCGCGTCCGGGATGAGCGACTTCAAGCCGAATCTGCCCGAGCTTGTACGTCTCACCACACCGGCACCCAGTTTGCGCGTCTAAATTGCAAAGTTTTTTTTTGTTTTTTTTTTAAGGGTTTGTTTACTGTGTGTGATTCATTTAATGGATAGCACATTCACTTCTAGTCATCTTCGTCTTCTATTCCGCAATGTTTCGGTCTCCCACGTGTGTGTGGCAAGCTGGACCGCCGGGAACATGCAAAAAATAAATAAATAAAGAAGCGTCGACGCAAAAATATGACGTCGACGCAATTTTGACGTCGAAGCATCGATGTCATCGACGCGCCGCTACAGCACTAGTTGTAAACATTCAAAATTTTGCATTCAAAAGACTTGCCGACTGCAGCTTTAAAAGGAATGACTTCCGGCCGCTTTGGAAGCTGAAGTCGGCGGCGGTGTGAACGTATAGTAAGGCTTAATAATAAATAAAAAAATGTCTGGAAAATTGGCTAGAGAGATGCCGGCCGAACTTGTAAACATGTCCAGCAAGTTTGACATCTTTTGGTCCTTTGAACCACCACTGATCTAATTGTTTTCTTTGTTTCTTCTGGTCTCTGTTGTAAAGGCTGCAAAAAAAAAATTGGTTCACACAAACCCCACAGGTTCAATTTAGTATGTTACTCAATATTCTTTTCTTATCCAATCTAGCGACTCTGTGATTTCTCTGCACCCCATTATCCTGACAGCACAATCGCATTTTTTCTTGTTTCCTTCGAGTTGTTCTCGTTATCCCATTAGAAGTTAATGACTCCATGATGGAACATGGAGTGCTTGGAACAACTCGGCCCCAAATTTCCTCCGAGAGACAAATCTGTTTAAGGAGAGAATCACTGACAGCTGGCTTAACTTGTTCACCAAGCGAGTCCGTGGTGTTCTATTCCAGAATGAAACAAAACAGCGTGATGATGATACATTCGCATTATGATGTCTTATTATTTCAGCTATCCAGGGCCAGCGTAACTGGGCACTTTGGATTAGTGTTTTTAGTCTGTGTGTGTGTTTTTTAAGATACCCTCTTTGATCAGCATGAAGCTGAATGAGTCAGTGGGGAAGGCTTTTATTCTTTGAACTCCACCAGTCTGCTCTAAATCCTGCTATGGGAATGTTCAGATAAGGTTCATTCTTAACAACCCCATGAAAAGCACAGAACCTCCATATCCTGACCTCCTCGTGCTCGTCTTCTCTACTGGGGGAGACTTGGAGAC